GGCCGCCGGCTCTTTCTCGCGCCGCACGCGGGCGTTGCTCGTAGTCGGTGTCCGGGACGTCGCACCGTGATCTCGGCGCGGGGGAGGGCTTCCCGCGCGGGCGTCGGCTTCGTGCCGCCGTGCGGCCGCGTCAATCAGTTGCTGGATGCGCCGGGTCATGTGGGGGAGTTCTTCGGCCTCCAAGCCGTCCAACTTGTCCACGGCCGCCTGGGCGGCACGCAAGTTCTCGAGCGGAGTGGCATAGACCGGGCGGTCGACTCCCAGCATGTCGGCGATGACGGCGCCGTGTTGCTTGACAATGCCGGCCCGGTTTGGCCCGCCCGGGGCCGGCGTGCCGAAGGCGGCGCGGTCAGCTTCGCGCTGGTAGGCCTCAGTGAGGCGTCTCACGGAAGCCATCCTCCGGCCCTCTGCGAGGAGGGCGAGGCGGCGCGCCTCCAGTGCTTCGTCGTCGGCATCAGCCGGGAGGGGGGGTGGACAAGTCATGGGCCGCCGCGTGCGGGGCGTCGTGGGCGCTCTCGTCGGCTGGGCCGCCGTGGCCGACGACCATCACTTCGGTGGTGACAGTATCGCGGCCGTCGGTTCGAGGAAGCGGGTCGTTGTAGATCGCAACGTTGGTGAGGAAGGTGTCGAAAGAGGCCGTGTCGGAGTCGACAGGCATCGGGTCGGTGGAGCCAACCGACTCCAGATCCACAGCGGGCTCGCTGGAGACATGGAGCTGGCCGAGGAGGTTGGCGAGGTGGTCAGTGCCCGCATCGGAGGCGAGCTCGTTGGAGATGAGGGTTTCATCGAGGAGATTGGCGAGGCTGCTCGCCGCGCAGATGCTGGTGACGCCTTGCAGCGCGTCGTGGCAAGCGCCATCGGGCGTGCTGGGCTGGCTACGCTTGCTGGGGAGGAAGAGGGTTCCCGTCCAGAACAGGTCTCCGGACGACGGTGCACCTGGCCCCACGGTGGGCGCCAAATGTCGGGTGGTAGGTGCGACATATGCCAACGGGTGGCTTATCATTGTGGGAGCCAGTAAGACGTCGCCGGTGCCTGGAAATGGGATGAGGGGAAGACATGCATGCTGGCGAATCTTACCCAGTTTCGGGGCTCTCCGTGGAGATAACACCCCTACTGCTGCTCTGCGGGATCTCCGCATGATCACTAGATGGACAAGTAGCTACACAATGTTCCTTGAGCTGTTCGATGGGAGGAGGAAGAAGGGCACGACTAGCTTGCTTCTTCTCCTTGTGTGGTGTCTAAAACTAGCTGGGGGTCCCCTCTTTGCATGGGTGCCCCGGGGGATTTATATAGGCCTACCCCCCGGGGGTACAATGGTAATCCGACTGGGCGCGGGGCCCAGCCGTCTGTGACTGCGCTCGCCGGCTTCTACGCCGGCCGCTGGGGCCCGCCGGCTGCTGGCTCCTCGGTCGACAGGCAGGCCCCACTGTCCGGGACCTGGTTGGCAGCGGGCTACTGTTGCTCCATCTTGATGACGTGGGCTTCGTCGTGGTAGGCGTGGCTACAGTACCGCCGCCCGGCGGGCGATTACTGTAGCCTCACCACGTCTTGTCTCCTTAATGAGGCGTCTCCTTCGAGGAAGATGGCAAGCCGGCTGCGGGGAGCCGGCTCTCTCTTGGGCCGACTGGGGGAGGTGTGGCCGCCTTCGGGTGTCTCTCTGCCCGAAGGGACCCACCGCCCGTGGGCCGCGCTGGTAGTCCGTAACCCTCTGTTTATTCGCATTATTATACATCTAACAGACGATGGTGGAGGAGACGGGGTTGAAGCTGAACTTGGTACTCCACTCGTAGTTGAAGAAGACCCTCTGTTTAGGGCTAATCAGGCGGCCGGCGTCGAGGGAGCAGAGCTTGCCGTCGCCGTCCGGCTTGATGGCGGTGTCCGGGTAGACCTCGATGGAAGAGCTGAACCCCGCGCACGCCAGCTTCACGTTCTTCTGCGTGCAGCCGCAGTTGTTCACCAGTGTCACGTATTGCACTAGCCTTCCTCCCGGATCCGGGTAGTCCTTCGTGGTGACAACAAGATCTGAAGTTCTGCACCCCGCTGCACTGCCTGCTTAAACACACGATGAAAGACAAATTAAAGAGTGCCTTGCTAGTTCTTGGTGATTGCTTTGCTACGCTGAACAACGTACCTCTGTTGCTGATGCAGAATAACACACAGGCCACAAGGATCACGGCTGGCTTGATCTCCATGCTATTGTCTAGTACTAAGCCCCGATGTGCAAGCAGATACGCCGTCTTCAGATTGTGTTGTTTTATCACGCTAATGGCAAATGACGGGCTATTTATAGGCGAACGGGCCAAAGGAAGTTACTGTGCCAGCTGGATTTCGATTCTTTATTTGAGGCAACCATTCAATTCTCGATTCACCAGATAAGTGCAGATTTGATTGAGATAACGTATAACTCCCTCTGTACCCATTTATAAGGCGAAAAGTTTGGAAACTTTAATTCGTAACCTTTCCAAAGCTTCTTTTCAGGGTTTTTTTTACAATTAATGTTGGAAACTCTGTAGAAGGTTCAAGTCCCATAACGTCCTTTTCTCTTTTTTCTTCACGGTTTTCCTTTTTTGTTTATTGTTTTATTTTTTTTATTTTTTATTATAGACTGCTCTTGTAATTTTTTTAAATATACACAACTTTTTTAACCGTTAGTGTTTTACTAAAAATGTTCATAATTTTAAAAATATTCAGATTTTCAAAAAGTGTTTGCGTTTTATCATAAGTTTGGATATTTCAAAAGATGTTCGGGAATTTTAAAAATGTTCTAAATTTTCCAAGAAAACCAAAGTTCAAAAAAAATTGCTTCAAACAATCTCTTGTTCACTTTTAAAAAGTAATTCTTTTTCTGTTTTTTGAAACCAAATAAAAACATAATAACCACTCGCTACATGGTGTCGCCAATGGGTTGGCCCGGTCGGGGAGCCCATGTTTGACGTAAAGAATGTCTTAGGCCATGTATTGGATGATAATTGGTTGCCTCGAGATGAGATGATGCGTCCTTATGGATACAGAGTTCCCGATCCGGCAATGTTTGCATCTGAGTTTATTGATTCCACTTCAGCAACCTGGGACAGACAATTAGTTGGGGAGACATTTCTTCCCATGGATGTTCTGCTGATCCTAGGTATTCCACTTTGTACCAGGCACTTGCCGGATTTTTGGTGCTGGAACTATGAGAAAAAATGGCGCTTTCTCAGTCATATCTACATATAGGATGTTAGTAGCCACCAAGCAAAGAAGGGAGGCTTGGTTGGAGGGCTCGGCGGGCACTTCTGGTGTGAGCAATTATGAAAGCTCCTGGAAATCTCTATGGAAAACGCTGGTACCAGCAAAAATTCGAATGTTCCTATGTAAGTTATCAAAACACTCGTTACCTACGAAGGATGTCAGAGCACATCGGCACATGACTGGGTCAAGCTCATGCAGTTTATGCGGTGCACCGGACTCTTGAAGACACTCTTTGCTAGAGTGTACTATGTCGCGGTGTACCTGGGCTCTGGTCGATGACGAGCTAGCTCAAGAACTAGTGGCCACCACCGAGCCTCGAGCGAAGAATTGGTTATTGCATGCGATGTTCGTCAAGCTCGCTGTTACTCTATAGGCAATTTGGTTGGCTAGACGGAAGGCTATTCACGAAGGAATTTTTCAAAGCCATCATTCTCTGCATATCGAGGACGTGGGCATAGCCCAGTGGTTGGGGGCGCATGATTGTAAACCCAACAACCAGAGTTCGATTCACGTCGGGGACGAATTTCTGGAATTCTCATGAGGGATGCTTCTTCTATATCAATAAACCGTGGGTGCTAGTGCCCATGGAGTTTCATTTTTTTTTCATCATTCTCTGCATATCTTTGTCACTCATTTCATGTAGGAGCTCAAAGTCATTAATGAGAAGCAACCGGTGCAATCTAGAGCGCGTGTCACTCATCCCGCCGGTGTCGCGAACCCACGTCCGAAGGCTCCTTCTGCTGGTTTTGCACAAATACATGTGGACACATGTGTTCGGCAAGGCAGAGGGGGAACGACAGCAGCTGTTTGTAGAGATTCAATCGGCACGTATCTGGGAAGCTCATCCCTCATCATAACTGGAGTTCACGATCCGGCAAGCCTAGAGGTTATGGCATGTAGAGAGGCATTGGCTCTCGCGGAAGACCTTGATCTCCAACAATTCATAGTTGCTTCGGATGCAAAACAAGTGGTGGAGGACTTAAGAAAGGGCAGTCAAGGGAAATACGGTGCCATTATCCAAGAGATTAAACTAAGATCTTCTGTTTTTAGTTGTAATTTTACTTTTGAGAGTCATGCTGTCAATGTTAAAGCACAAAGTTTAGCTAGATTTTCTCTTTCTCTAGCGCATGGGCATCATGTGTGGCTTGACCAACCCCATGACATAAACTGTATCCCACTTCATGTGGCTTTTGATGAATATAAAGTTGGTCTTACCCCTAAAAAATGTCTTTCGTTTGGGTGCCTAAAAAATGTATTTCGTTGAGGGCCAGTAATATGCAGGTGTAAACATTTATGGGTGTGGGAAACATCCAGCAATCCAATCGGGGACTTATTGGTATAAGAAACTCAGTAGCCAGATAATCTATCAGTTTTTGACGAAAGATAGCTAAACAATCATCTGTATATTCAGTCGGTGAATACTAAAATACTCAAGCCATCTTTATTGGTGCCATTTCCCCCCCTGAATTTGCCTCATGCCAGCTGATTATCAAGCAAATCCTGGTCATTTACTTCCTACAATGTCGAATAGGAGTATATAGCAATGATACATCTGCAATAGTAAGATTTGCACTTTTGGAACACCCATTGTTGTTCTGGAGAAGGTGACCTGTAGAGATTTGTACTAGTATTGCTCGTATGGTCTGATTGCATTTATTTCGGTGCCGGTCACCCAGCTCATCATTCTGCTAACACTGCTCTTGATAGGTATCGATTCGTTTAGCCCATTCCACACACTCTTAATTAGTTTCCTAACCCATCAAATGGCATATCTACTGTACTTTGTATAGATCCCGCAAACAAGACAGGATCGGGTGACTGTTGGCTGCTTCCAGTGTATGCTTGATTGTGGCCCTTTTGAGCAAACTGGGTGATTTGTAGCAGATCTGAATTTAATACAGTACGATGGTAAGAACTAAGAACTTTATTCAGAAATACACCGTTTTTGTCGCTATGGAGGCATATTTCTGATATGGCCATGACATCATTTATTCGCAGTATCTAACATACAATGGTAGAGGAGACGGGCTGGAAGCTGAACTGGGTACTTGAGTGGATGTCGAAGAAGACCTTCTCCTTAGGCCCAACCGGGCGGCCGGCATAGAGGGAGCAAAGAATGCCGTGGCCGTCCGGCTTGATGGCTGTGTCCGGGTAGACCTCGATGGAAGAGTTGAACCTTGGGCACGCCAGCTTCACGTTCTTCTGCGTGCAATCGCAGTTGTTCACCAGCTTCTTGTATTGCACTGGCCTTCCCCCCGGATCCGGGTAGGTGTGCGAGGTGACAACAAGATCTGAAGTTCTGCACCCTGCTGCACTGCCTGCTTAAACACACGATGAAAAGGAAATTAAGGAGTGGCTATATGGACCTAGAGATAATCTGATCGTAAATATTAGCACACAATTGCTTGCTAGTTCTTCGTGATTGCTTTGGTATGCCGAACACTATACCTCTGTTGCTGATGCCGAATAACAAACAGGCCACGAGAATCACTTCTGGCTTGATCTCCATGCTGATCTCTAGTAGTATGATTGTTTTGATTTACCTCGCCAATGGCAAATGCCGGGCTATTAATAGGCGAACGGAACGGGCCAGAGGAAGTTAATGTGCAATCAGTATTTCGATTAGTTTGAGGCAAGCATTCAATTAATGATTCACCAGATATACAAGTACTCCCTCCGTTTCTTTTTATTCTGCATATAAGATTTGGTTAAAGTCAAACTTTATAAAGTTTGATCAACTTTGTAGGAAAAAATAGTATCAAAATTAATTCCATAATGCATCTAACAATATCTCCATCTCCATCTCCACTACTATTATCTTCACTACTATTAAACAATTAAATAAGAACTTTCTTACGTGTACCCAGCAATTAGTCCCACAAAACGCGCAAACCAATCAGCACCACACAATTAGTTCCATAAATCTTAATCCAACAGTCATTACTGATCTAATACCTCTACGGTGTGGACTTAGCAAATTCCCATGAGTGACCGTGCTCCACCACCATCCATCCACCAGGAGAGAAATACCAGCCCCGCGTCCGTCCCCTATAATCACGCTACATAATATAATCCCATAATCAAAACTGAAAACACCATCGCAGGGCTGCACCCGACGTCCCCATCTGCTGCTAATCAAGGGAACGACGCCCTTAGGCTGGTCATAGTGGGGAGTAACTTAGACTAGTAACATAGATATGTTACTAGTCTATGTTACTACCTTCATAGTGGGTAGTGTCATAGGTGTGGTAACATAGTTGCCTTCATTTATTACTTTGTAGACTCATTATGCATTGGAAACCGCTATGTGATGGTAACATATTATGTTACTCTATTTGCCTCTCTCCTCATTAACTACTTGCCACATCATCATTTTTGCTTATGTGGCATCTATGTTACTACCTATGTTACTCCCACTATGACCAGCCTTAATTCCGCTCACTGGCGACGCCAGCGCCCGGTAGTTATTGCCCAGTCTGCTCGCACCATCGGCGCATGCTGCCGTCGCCGACCGTCCTTATCCGGCTGTAATCCCGGCGTCCTTCTCGCATCACCCTGCTGCACTTCTGGTCGATCGCCTCAAGACGTCACCCAAGCGCGTGTGGCCACAAAAGCACTTCATCATGCTCAGGCGCTGGTAGACGACGACGTGCTGCGGAACAACGAGCAGCTCGTCATCGCCGCGGCTTGATCTTCCTTGATAAACGCTCGTCTGGTATTGGGCTGGTACCGTGCTTGGTTACGTGATCTTCCTTGATCAAACTATCTTGTGCGGCGAGCAGTATGGTTCCTGATGTTGGTGTTCCAATCGTAAATAGATTGTCTCACACGTTAGTGATTTTCTAAAAAATTAACACATGCACACACTTTCAGGCACCAGAAATCGTTTATCATGCATCTATGTGCTCAATTCGTTTGCATGCCACGCCCAGACCTAGATCGCCGGGAAGGGTAGCCGCTGCAAAAGATACGAAATTATTAAATTTAGTGATGGCCGCATCTGATAGAAGCCCTAATTACATGTGCACCCATTTGGAACACATTAGTCCATTGCAACATAGCATCTGAAGGCTTTCATGTTTCCCAAATCTTTTATATTGTCCCCAAATCCATTCGTGATAGACAAGACATTAGTGTACATTGTGTTTGGGCATAAATGTATCCTTGCTTTAGTCATTTGCTTTGAATTCCGCGTTTGGTACTGACTAGTAATCGCGCACGTACAATGCACGTGTAACAGAATTTGAGTAGTCCATCTTGACGGTCATTTGTATCGAAAACACTATGCCTCAAATACTTTAAATGTTCATTCTCCACCCCCACCCTCGTAATCACACACGTGCAATGCACGTGTAACCTTAAAGAATTTGAGTAGTCCATCTTGACGGTCATTTGTATAGAAAACACCATGTCTCTCCAAGCATATTTTCATACATTTTATTATCAAAGAGACAATTCGAGAAAAAATATGTACTCCCTCTGTAAACTAATATAAGAGCGTTTAGATCACTAAAATAGTGATCTAAACGCTCTTATATTAGTTTACGGAGGGAGTACAAACTAATATTTTCAGGATGATGCAATTGAGTTAAGCAGAGATAAGGTAAAATAAGATAAAGCATAAGTATTGACCATTTGCAACATAGGTCATCAAAAGGCTTTAGATACACAAGTGTAAAATAATAATATATAAATTTTATTTTGACACAATATTATATGCGGCGGACCACTAATCACCTCACCTCACGATTATATTTTAGTTGATTATATGCTTGGTTGAGACTGAAAAATATATTAAACAAGGGCAAAAGCTTTGCCGCTTTTCGTTCATTTAATTAAGAAGCCAGTAGAAATAG